TTTAAGTAGATAAAATCTAGGGATCTTGTTAAAATCTAGATTTTGATTCAGCATAGCTGGGGCTGTTGTATGCCATCGTGTCAGACTCAACTCATAGCCGACTGCCCAGTGGGGTTTCAGAGGTAGTAAATTTTATAAGAAGAGATTGCCTAGCCTTCTCCCCCAGAGCAGCTAGTAGCTTCAAACCATTTGCCTTTGAGCTGGTAGGGCACCTCCTTTCCTACTAATCCAGATGCAAATTCTTAGCAGGGAGCTGAAACTCAACGAAGTGATTCGAAGCCCTGGGGAAAAACCAAAAACCCGCTGCCACAGATGTTCTCACTCAGAAATGCTATGGTGCAGGGCAGAACTGTCTGGTACAGGTTCTGAGGCTGTCATTTTCACAATAGAAGATTGTCTCATCTGTCTCTCGAAGGCCGGCTGGTAGGTTTGAACCACTGACTTTGATGTTAGTAGCCAAGTGTTTTAGCAACTATGCCACTATAGCTCCTTCTGAGGGAAAGGGAGAATAAAAACTTCAAATGGACACTTCAAAGTGAACACTTTCCACCTGAAAAGGAGTAGGGTATAGAATTTAAGTTCAATGATTTGTTGCACACCTGAGCTATATTTACAAATCATTGTTTTGGTCTAACTCAGGACATTTCTATTCATTTTACAATAGTTAAGCCTTACAGTAATCCAATAGGGTATATGCTATTATTTGCTTTTATTTTGCAGACCAGAAAAGAAATTACGTTCTGAGGAATTAAGTAATCTCCACAGTCACACAGCCAGGACCTGTAGGAGCCGGGATTATTATAAATACAGGTCTGTGTGATTTTCAGAACCTGGGGGTTTTTGTCCCCTTTTTACAACTTGCCTCAGAAAATCCATGAACTGACAGTGGGGAATCCTAGATTCTAGTTAACTTCCAGTCAGTTACTCCTTCTGAGTTTCGGTTTCCTAGTTTGTCAAATGGGAAGAGGAGTCTCTCCTCTCTTTACTTCAGAGAAGAGCAGGGTAAGGGGGGAAATGCTGTCCTGAGCTGGGCATGGCCACACCCTGTGTGCTAGGGCCTTTGAGTTTGCCGGAATCGCATTCCTGGCCATTGAGTTGGAACCAACTTACTGCTGAGCCACTGTGTTTCCAAGCCTGTACGTTTTAACAGATTAACCATCTTTTTCCCTTGGAGTCACTGGTGGATTTGAACTGCTAGAGATGTGACCTTGGGTTAGCAATGCAACTCCCTGTGGTATGCCACTAGAACTCCCTTTGACTTTTCTGGGGAGGCCCCAGTCCCACACTCTCTCCTGGCCTCTGGTTAGCCTTCCCTGCCCTCGCCCTTCCCTGGTACAGCCTCTGGCAGAGACAACTCCAAGTGGCTGTTCCAAGAGCCTTAAGGCAATTTTGGAAGCACAGAGTATTTGCATCTGAGAGAATTCTGGGGCCTGTGCTTAATTCCTCCACTTTGCAATAGAAGAAAACAAAGCCTAAGAAAGTTCGGAAGAGGACTAAGGAGTCAGCTAGGCTCTCACTTTGTTCTCCTGAATCTCTTTTCTGCCTTCAATTCTTTTTTGCTGCACATGTTCTTTTTTCCCCTCCTCTTGGTTGTCGTATCTGTCATATCTGTTACCCCAATTTTCCATTTGCTTGTTTTCCTGAAGGCTGGGGAGATCTGTGGCTTCTTTATCCCTGAAGGCTTATGGAAGTTTACCATGATTCAAAGGATTCCTAAAACCTTGCAGTGAAGGTCCATTCACTGTTGTGTATCTTTGAGTCAGAACCAACCCATAGCTGACCCTCCAGTGGATTTTCAGATGCAGTGAATCGTATGGGAGGAGACTGCCCATTCTTCTCCCACAGAGCAGCTGGTGGACTTGAACTGCATGCTTTTAAGTAGGCAGCACAGCTCCTTAATGCTAGGCTACTCACTAGGGGGTTATTAATTTTGTGAAAGGGCTGGGTTGAAGGGTCCTCTATCCCCATTTCTACTGAATCTATCCATGGGCAATGCTTCTTCCTAGCATGTTTCCAAGATTCATTCTTTCCGGCTTCCTTTAAAGCCTTGCTTGGTGGATAAATGAGAACTTCATTTCCCAATTTCTCATTGGTTGGCTGTGTCCACAAGACAAATTCTAGACAGATGTGATTTATGCTACTTTTAGACTGTCTAAAGGTGTTTTTTTCCTTTCTTGTTGTGTACCATTAAATTGGATCCGACTAGCACAGGAGATTGCCCCTCTTCTCCAGCAGAGCATCTGGTGGATTTGAACTGTGTGCCTTTGGGATTGCAATGCAGCTTCTTGCCACAAGCCCACCAGAGCTCCCTAGACTATCTTTAAAAATGAACAGTGTGAGGTAAAAAAGGTAGCAGAGAACCAAATGAAGTAAAACAAAGGAATTTATTATCAGCTCTTGTACCCCCAAGGCTAGAGAGGGCCAGTGGGAATGGGAAGTCACGTGCTGGACAGTTACAACAAAGATTTCGGGGGGGGAGGTAAATTGATCTATTCTGTGGTCAGCTCTCTCTCTATTCAATGGTCAGCTCCCCATAGAGGACATTAATTGGATGCCCTCTGCCCGTTGCCATGTAAGGAGCTACTTAGGACCCTTAGGTGGGTTGTCATAGCTGATGTTAGGTAGGATGTGGCCTGTGGTCGTGCTCTCTTCTGATTGGCTGTAGCCATCTTACACCAGGCTGATTGGAATGTCTCCCAAGAGGTGCGTCAGCGTGGAATGTTGCCCAGCTTCCAGGTGGCCTTTCAAATAGCAGTGGTGTCCCCTGATTATATTCTCCCTTAGCTCTGGTGGTCTAGTGGGTATGGAGTTGCATTGACAACACAAAGGCAGGTGGTTTGAATCTACCAGCTGATCCAGGACAGAAAGATGACTAATCTCCTCCCATGTGACTTACAGTCTCTATAAACCTGCTGGCGGGTCAGCTGAGTCAGTTCTGGCTTGTTGGCACACAACCACCACCACCTTCCCACATGATGTGATAGATGCAGGTGTGAAGATGAGTCCTGGACCAGCTATCCTGCACCTCATGACCGAAGCCATTTCTTGAGAATTGTAAAAACAAGAGCCAGAAGCAGCTGGAATCCCCAACTCAGTGGAATTGCCCTTTTAGCTCGGGAGTATTAACCCTTGCAGATATCAGGAGAGGAAATAACTTTCTAACTTGTTTTGTTTGAATCTTCATTATAGTAGCCCAAAACTGTGTCTCAACGAATGTATCTCTTAGCTCTAACCATACCTTTTATGACCCCCACATTTTTCCTAAAATGTTGGCATTCGGATTGATACGCTGAGTGAGAACCTTCCTCCCCCAGCTGACCTCTCAGAACCTTTCCTAGCAGCCACCTTGACATGAAGACCCACTTTGTACTTGAGGACTATCTATCTTTTTTAAAAAAACCTCTTGAACTTGATCCTGGTGTATTGAATGTTTTAAACTTTGTTTCCTTCACCTTATGGATGGTATCAATACATTCCCTTCAAAAGTGGTTTTATGCAAGCACAACATAGTCAACAAGATTTCTGTCTTGGGGAAGGCGTTGCAATGGGCAGCATTGCAAAGAAACATTAGAAATTACCATGCACCCCATAAACATATGCACGACAACACACGCTCATGGCAGGACATCTCTATAAAACACCCCCGAATACATGCAAATAAAGACGCTTTCATTGTTTCATGCAAATAGAGACACATGAAGGCAGAAACCTACCCAAAATACTCCTACAGAGACAGGATGAAAACACACAGACAAGCAGCAGCTGCCAGATTTGTCTCTTTATTGTCACTGTCGCCTGGCTCCTCCAGCATCTTTGGGTGTGAGGTACCTCCCTAACCCCGCCCCCCAATTCCCTGTCTCATGTTCTCCATCTGCCCTTTTCTGGGGGCTGGGGATGCTCCCGTGGTGGCTTCCGTGTGAGGCCCCCTCAAGTGGTTACATCCCGGGGGGATAAGCAGGCTTGGACCCTGCTCCCAGGTCCTAGTTCCTCCTCAGTTCTGTTGCCGTGGTCCTGTCTCTGTGGTGTCCTGTCCATTCTCTGGTCTCATCTGAGGAAGGGAAAGAGACAGACACTCGAATTTAAATTCTGCCCCTCAAGCCCTTTCATTCTTGCACCCTCTTCTCTGGGCCTGTTTCCTTCTCTCACTCATTACTGGCAAGTTGGAACCAACTCATAGCTGAGCCTTCAGTAGGTTTTTAGAGAGTAAATTGCACGGGGAAGATTGCCCATATTTTGTCTTCCAAGGAGGTGCTGGAGGATTCAAACGTCTAGAGTGGAGCCACCTTTGAGTTCCCCTTTTGACCCTGGAGTGAGAAAAGACAGGCTCATACATTTTTTTTTTTTTTTTGAGACACACGGTCGACAGGCTCATACATTTTGTGGTTGTTTTGGACAAGGTGCCATCAAGTCGACCAGGACTCAAAAGTGAACCTATGAGCAACAGATCTGAGCCCTGCCTTGTCCTGTGTCATCCCCACCATCTCAGACATGCTTAAGCCCATTGTTACAGTCACTATGTCAACCCATCTTGTTTAAGGTCTTCCTCTCTTTCTCTAACACTCCATCTTTCCCAGAATGATGTCTTTTTCCAAGGACATCAATGTACAATGTACAATGTAGGTGAGATGAAGTTTCACCTTTACAGCCTCTGAAAAGCCAGCTATGCGTCAGTTCTGACTTGACAGTAAGGAGTGAGAGATTCTATGTTGAGAAGTCCACAGGCCCTCCCCCTCCTTCTCCATGTCACAGAGAGGGTAAGAGTTAGGTCCTGTGAAGCCCAGCCCCCCTCATCCCCTCCCTCTCATAGGGTTACCCAGCTGGTTATTTTTCCACAGAGGTGATCCCTGACCTTCATGGGGGCGGGGAAGGGGGGGAGGAGAGACAAGGCAGGGCCTGGGTATAAACAGTCCTTGGGATCTTGCCAGTGGGCCCTGTGGCCCCACCCGGGCCGACTCCTTCCTGTCTGTTTACCTGGGGCACACAGCTTCCTTACCCCACTCTCAGGACTTTGCGCTTTTCTTCTTGTGCTCTGCATTCTGCAGCTTGGTCACCAGCTTTCTCTCATGCCCACCAGGGCTGGGGCGGTTGGTGTTCACAGCAGCTTCTCTTTTGGTGCGACCTTTCCGGCCACCTCCTCCTGGAACCCAAGACTGGAGTGAGAAGCGGAGCTGAGGCCTGCGGGGGAGCTAGATAGATGGGCAGGGAAGGCAGGAAGAGGCTGGGCTAGAGTAGCAAGATTGAGGGGTTGTCAAGCTATTTTCTCAGGTGGGAAATGAGAGGCCCTAGAGTCAAATGTGTGAGGTCTTGGGCTGAGTAGAACAGGGTGCAGTGGCTGTGAGATCAGAAAGGGAAGGCTTAGGGGTTACAAGCTCACCTAAGGGGCCGTGAGAACAGATTATCTGGAAAAGAGTAAGGGGTGGGAAGAAGTCCTAGAAAGGGGTTGGCATTTGTGGGGATTGGAAGGGGAAGGGTCAGGAAGGTGGCAGAGCCTGGGCCCTCACCCAGGCCGGAGTGGGTCAGGCCATAGAGGTCATACTCATCCAGGCTGCAGTCCTCGTCCTCAGGGCCCAGGGGCTGCTGGGATGGGCTGGATGCTTGTGGTGAGGCAGCCATCATGTCAGGCCTGCTCTCACCGTCGCTCTTCTCTGTCTTCTGTAGCTTTGTTTGTGTCTGCTTTCTTGGTCAGGCACCTCTCTCCTCAGGGTTTATTTGCCCCAGTTTATATAAGCCACGTCTCCTCCTCAGCCCACAGTCTGGCTCCAGCTCCTCAAAGCCTGGCTGATGCAATCTGGCCCTTTCCCAGAACCCAGCCCAGCAAACACTAGTCACGAGTCATCAGGGGAAGGGCTGTGTCCTGTGAATCCAGCCCCCCTCACCAGGGTCACCCAGCTGGGTATTTTTCCACAGAGGTGACCCCCACCCTGCAGGGGGGAGGAGAGGAGACAGGGCCTGGGTATAAACAATCTTTGGGATCTTGGCCGCTGGGACCTGAGGGCCTCGCTTGGGTTGACTCCTTCCTCTCCATCCCCTCCTCTGACCCTATACCCTTCTTGAGCTTGGGGTCATGGTCACACAGATCAGCACCCCACACCTCATTTCTGGCTCAGATTCAGGATGGTGGTGGCAAGTTACACAGTGAACAAAGGAGGAACTGGAATATCAACATGCATCCATCTTAGTTCAATGCTGTCACCATTTATCCCACCCCTGCTGAGGAGCCCTGGTGGTGCAGGGTGCTCCGTGTTGGAGGGGGGCGTCTAGTGTGCTATGTGTCATCCTGCTGATCAAAAGGTCAGCAGTTGGAACCCACCAGCTGTACTGGGGAGAAAAAAGGATGGGGCTCCATAATCAACACTCTTGGCACCAGCAGCCTGGAACTTAAAAGATGTATTGCGATGGGAAAGTCTGCTGTTAGGGACCTCTCCAAAGTACTGAAGAGCAACGGTATGTCTCTGGAGACTAAGGTGTGTCTGGTACAGACCATGCTCTTTGCAATCACTTGTTATGCGTCAGAGAGCTGGACAATGACCAGGGAGGATAGAAGAAGTGATGCTTTTGAGCTTTGGTGTTGGAGAAGAGTGCTGCGGGTACATGGACTTCTAAGAAAACAAACAGATCCATCCTGGAGAGGGTTAAACCGGGCTGCTCCTTGGAGGCAAGGATTCTGAGGCTTCGTCTGACATACTTTGGTCATGTTGTAAGGAGAGACCGGTCCTTGGAGAAGGACATCATGCTTGGGAGGGTGGAGGGCAGACGCAGGGGGGGAAGGCCCTTTGGAAGGTGGGTTGATTTGGTGACTGGGGCAATCGGGATGAGTGTGTCAGAGACAATGAGATTGGCACAGGACAGAACAGAGTTTAGAGCTGTTGTACATAGGGTCACTATGAGTCGCAAGCAACTCAATGGCACATAACAACAACAACAACAACAATCTCTGCCTGAAAAGGTTTACAAGCTTAGAAACCTGATGGAGATTCAACTCGACAGGTTGTTTTTATTTAAACTATGGGGTTGGCTAGGTCAGTGGCTCTTACCTTTGTCACACGCAATACTTCCTTTTCTAAAGAAGAAATATCTGGGAAAAATTCCCTTAATATTCTGCAATGGGACAGCCAAGTTATCTCCCTTTCAGGAGACGGGCTGGTGGGGTGGTTGAGAGTACAGATTTTAAAGCCACAGTTCTGAGTCAGACTCGTAGTCTACCACATCCTGTATGAGCCTCTCTGGGCCTCAGTTTCCTCCCCTGTAAAATGGGAATAATGATTATCACCTACCAGGAAGAGTTGGCGTGAGGTTCAAGTGACAGGACATGGAAAAGTACAGCGGCGGCAAAGGGTAAGTACATGTGTGAAAGGCTGGTCACTCAAGTTCAAAATAACTCAACCCCCCTAACTGTCATACAATGGAGGAATAAGGACATTAATTCATAATCAAATAACAGGTATTTCAAGACCTGAATCTATTGAGGGGAAAGATGAAAACGAAGGAAACAGGTGTTTGTACCTATTATGAGTTAGTATGCATTTAAGGAAGAGCTGCTAATAAGAATCAAGTGAAGATGGAATATTCCACATTCGCCTGAAGGGTCTGGATCACGCAGGCTGTGTTAATCAAGCCTCTGTGCTCCTGAGGTTTAAACACGCCCCAGCTCCTGGTGTTCCAGAGAATAGGCAGATATACCTAAATTTATTTTTTTTTTTGGTGGTGGGGCCTGACTTTAAAATATAATTTTTTTTTAAAACAAACAAACAAACTGTTATTTGTCAAGAGTATACATAGCACAACAGATAAGAATTCAAGTCTCTCCACGGACAGTCCAGGGACACAGATCCCATTCTTTGAATTGTGCTCTGTTCTCACCCCTCCCTTTTCTTAGACCTTCTTCCTCCCCTTGACATAAATTCTCTCCTCTGAGGTTTCAGTCTAATCGCCGTTGTCACTTTGATCCATATAGATCTTTGTTTACAAAACCAAAAATAACTCCTGTGGTTTCCAGGCTAAGCAGGACCTTGCCAGGCTATGCCAGATGTTCATTTTCTGCTCACCCCCTTGCTTAGAAGATACCAGAATACAATTCCATTTCAGCGTCACCTAACTTCACTCTTTTCCCAAACTCTATCCCATCCCAGTTTTGTCTCTTGTTTAGTAAAGCAGCACTTCTGCCCGCCTTTCTGCCTGTACCTGAGTCAGAATTAAATTTAGCTTTTGTTTTCCAGTGCAGGATGGTTTGTGAGTTAACACCCAGGAAATGAAAGTGAGGCCAGGAAGCCACGTGAATAAACACAGGGTTGTAATAACAATAACAACTCAGATGGTAAGAGGGAAATAACCTAACTTTAAAGATAATGACTATTGTGGGGGGAATGAGGAACTACCATTTTCTTGCAAAGAAGCAGGGTTTATCACTGAGTGTAGCAGCAAAATAATTCCCTCTGAAGTTGCTCTTCATTTCCATTGTGTGGGGACTGACTCATAGCTGACCCTCCAGCAGAGGCTGTAAGTCACATGGGAGGATAATGCTCATCTTTCTCCCTTAGAGAAGGTGGTGGATTAGAACAACCTGCCTTTTGGTTGGCACCACAACTCCTTACCTGTTAGGCCACCAGAGCTCCCTCCTTTGAGGTGGTGGTTGTTTGTGGTCATGTCAGAACCGATCCATACCTGACCCTCCATGGGTTTTCAGAGGCAGTGATTTGTACGTTTCCTGTCCTTCTCTGATGGAGCAGCTAGTAGATTCAAACCACACGTGCATATACAGGTTGGCAGACTAATGCACAAACCTTGGTTTATTCATGCACACCTACAGACACTGTCCCGTTACACCCGCCAACATAATGTCCATGTTTACAACTCAATTAGATGACATTTGTTACATGTTTCAAGTAATGCTACCATTATCTGGATCCTCATCCAACTCATTCCACCAACTAAAACACAACAAAAACATCCACCAGCCCTTTCCCTCCCACCTTCAAGAATAACTAATACTCTTGGTCTGTACATATTTGCTTAGTCTCCATGTAAATGAGATCATATCCTTATATATGTTGTTCCGCAACTGACATCTGTTGCTCAGCATATTTTCAAATGAAGCCTACCAGGACTTCATTTTTGTGTATAGCTGCATACTATTCCATTGTGTTGGCACACATTTCATCGGCCATTGGATATTTTTATTGTCTCCACCTTTGGCTACTGTAAAAAGTACTATAATGAACATTGGTTTATAGACCTGCCTCTTCTTCCAGGCATATTCTTGGGATTGAAATGGTCAGATCAGATGGTAACATTATGTTCAGCTTTTTGAGGAACTGCCAAACCATTTTCCATAGCGGCTGTACTAGGTTACACTCTGCCCAGCAGTGGATGAGGTTTTCTCCAGTTTCTCCACAACTTGACGTTTGTTTTCCATTTAAAAAAAAAACAAAAAACTTCCATTCTGACCTTGGTGAGGTGGCATCTCATTTTCATTTTGATTTGCACCTCCTTCTTCCTCAGTCTTTATCCAATTTACTTTGATTTTCATTTTACTTTCTTTTCTTTTGATTAGTCATCACTAACCAAATGTATCTTTTTTTTTTTTTTCAAATGTATCTTTTTTAACTAATTCTCTATCATTGGGCACTTTAGAATAATCTACACAGATTATTCCTTAATATATGAAACCCCAAAATCCTCATAACTGGACCAATAAGCAACATCTGGACAAATGACTGAAAGATAAATGATAAAAGATTAAAATTGTTGGCGAGTTCTGGTGGCCAAGTGGCAAGAAGCTGTACTTCAGTCCCAAAGGAGAGTGGTTCAAATCCACCAGAGCCCAAACCCTTGAGGGAGAGGAGATGAATGGAAAGAAGATGGACAAGTGAACGGGGGATTCTGGGAGCTCATCTGACCCGGATCCTGCAGGGCCCCAAAGATGACTCAATGGGAAAGTCAACAGGTGTGTCTGACTACTCTTCCACCTCCAGGTGTGTGTATAATCAGCCATGAGGATATGGATTTTCTTCAGCTTATGTGTGTATTTTGTGACATTCTAGCAGTCTGTCTACCACACTGATTACAGCCCAGTGAGATCTGTTTGAAATAAACACAGGGGTCTGGGGGTGCTCCCAGGAGGACAGCCAACTCTGCCTGGAGGGCGAGGCTCAGAGCCCAGTCCCTAGATAGAGTGAAGCAGAATGGCTGTTTTGGGGAAAGACAACTTCAGGAGTTAACTGTGAAAGACTGAGGAGCTCAAGGAATATCAGAACTCACCGACTCAAAAGATCAGACCTTCGTAGACGGAAGCCATGGTGAATGCATGGGGTGGACTGTTGACACTGTTGAGCTGCCAGCCTAAACAAGACGAAACAAGATGTGTTTGAGTGACCTCCAGCCCCAGTGCAGAGCGACCTTCAAACCTGGCAGCAGAGCTTGGACTTCTCCACTGTGCAGGATCATTGCCTGGGATACAGTTTTTTTCATGAGCAGGTTGACAATATTGCTTTTACATGCACACACCCCGCGATCCATTTCTAGAAGTCTCTCCTCCAGAACCACTCCCAGAGCTGAGTACAAGGTGCTAACTGCAGCTGTGGCTGTAGCGGTGAAAACCAGAAAGCCACCCCAGT